ATTTGTCAGGAAATCAGGACATCAAGATTATTAAAGTTCGAATCGTCATATTAACACACACAATGACACATGCAATATACTTGAGTGCTCTTCAATCAAATGTGCTTCATGACTTATTACTGTTAGTACATCATGGTGTAATGCTGTACTAAACAAATTAGATAAAGATAGTTCTTTTCGTTCTATTGTTATGCACTCATGATACACATCTCTTATTTTCTCGTTCTTTCTAGTATATTCTAATTGGTTCTTTCTCTCTTTCTGTTCTGTACTTTTCGTTATTAGTACCTGATTTAGTTCAACAAACCGATAATGATGGCAATGATCCATTACTTTATGTTTGTCTTAAAGTGGCTAGTTGTCGGTATCATTTAGTTGAATTTTTAATGACGATGGGATGTGATTTACAAAGACAAAATATTCATGGTGAACATTTTTTTCAAGTTCTACAAGAAAGAAAGAATAGGAAATTATTGGAAACATTGATTGAACATGAAACAATCGCCATAGATAATCTTTCAGGACAATTCCTATCGGATGGAAATGTGCAACACGATAGAGTTGCTTTAACCATTGTTGATAGACCTCGCTATATCTATCACGATTGTTTAGCGAACTAAAATCAGCACGTCGAAATTCCTGTTAGTGTCGCGGTCTATAGGGCAGGGTGTAGTTGGAAGAATTCACTTTTCTTGCTCTAAACTTCAGCACACATTTTGCAATCGTGTTTACCAAAATGAAACTGGACAAATTTAAGTATCTTTAGCCAAACAAGAATATAATCGATTATTCTTACTTGCTCACAGATGTTCACATCAACGTGTTTGATATGCTATCCTGATCATTGCGCGACAGTCCTGCATACAATCAAGTACTTTTTAGAAAATTTATCTCGATATTTCTTCTAAAACAACAAGAAATGCGTATTTTTTGTGTATAGTTCGAAGAAAGTATTTTTCTTAACTGAAGAAAACAATTTTGAAGAATAAGTTGCAATGATTCATATCGAAGGTGTAAATACAGATGCTTCACATCACCTTATCGTCTGTCTTAGAACAAGAGTAAATTACTCAAGAAATTTAATTCTTTTTTTTTCGTTTTTCTTAGTCGATACGTCAAAAACTGTAAAAATGACGACATGAACACAGTTCATTTTCTTTTGTATATGAGACGATTGCAAACTGTTTGTACTGTTTCAACAAAAAAGAAATGGCTAAGCTTATATCATGTAGAATTCTCAACCAAATTCAACAATTTTTTTTAGAAAATATCCTTCACAGGTGCGGCTAATTTAGATGCTAAAATCAGCTCTCTAGCTATTGTCTATTGCTAGAAAGTATGAAAATGATGTCGCTTTTTCAGTTAAATTTCACATGGACATCTCCAATATCGATAAATTAGGTTGATTTCTTTTTGTTGAGAAAGCATTTTTAAAACTCGCTTCTTCCCCATTAATATCTTCATAAGATAGGCTGCAAAATGTGCTATTTTGATTTTGAGAAGTTGTTCTTATTTCGTTTGTACGTCCTTGAAGTATTCGTGGTCGTACACTTTCGTAAAAAATGTCTCATTACGCTATACATCAGTATTTTCGAAATGAAAACGTGAATAAAGCCCTACTCAATTATAGTCAAATGATAGACCAAAGAAAATAAAATAAAATGCAATTTTAAAGAAATCTATAATATTTTTTATTTGAACAAAAATTAAAAAAAAGTTCAGATCTGAAAACGAGCCTTGCTCGCTCAATCTCTCGTCACGTTTTTTTTTTTGCTTTTTATGTATCTCAAGTTCTACTACATCTTAATCAAACTAGTTTTTAGCACAATCAGACCGCAGAATATAGAATGAATACTCTAAATTTTAACTCTTAACTCTTTGTCACTCGGGAGAAAATTTCAAAATACTGATCAAATGTTCCGTCATGTTTTTTTCACAATAAAATCGATATTTTTTAACTAAAACAGAAAGAAATCTAAATATATTATATCTGAATCGAAAACTCTTTGAAAGGCTCATCTAACTAGATGTGTAAAAATCTGTTACAAGCGACAAAGGCAAGTTTACTTGAGTTATAACAGCCTTGCTTCCGTTCGCTATGCGTCGACAAACGATGTCCTTTGAAAAACAGACTTAATTAAAAATTAAAAAATACACGTTCCCTTTAGGATCTGTTTGGATACCTTATGATTTCGCTTAGATTCATCATCGATCTGCTTCCCTTAAAGAGACTTTCTATAGCACCTTTACAATGACCCGACAATCCTCAAAAGTAAACTTAAAAATACCGTTAAGCCCCTTTCCATAAAAGATCGATCTTGGTTCAGGAACATTCAAACAACATGAAATTTACAAGAACTGTAGTGGAGAGGCTATGGTAAAATTTTCAGCTCAATACCATAATGTTTTCGGGAGATATTCAACCAGCAATGGTAAAAATAGCTCGTTTGGCAACCCGAAATTCTCTATGAGCTTTCATTCTATAGATTTAACTCTTTTTTTTTTGTTTGAAAGAGCATTTTAGGATGTAGTACATGACAAAGGCCTTTTTTTTATCCTTACTTTTTAAGAAGAAAACAGAAATGAAAAGTTCAACGTCTCAAAAAATGGCGCTCAAATTATAAAAGTACCCTTTTAGTCAATAGTAAAAAAGTTTTATTTGAAAAAATGGGTTCTTTCATGCTCTGCATCTTGACAAACGCTTTCAAGCAAAAAAAACATGTAGTTGGCTAAAATGAACTTCGTTCAAGAATTCTGAGATGCGCGATCAGAAAACATAAATCGACAAAAAATGAAAAAGAATTTCGACTCTATCTGTAAAATCATATTTTTCAAGTAGGCAATGGCGGAATCTTTTGAAAAAAAGGGAAATACCAAATAAAAAATGATGTCGTTTTCGAAAGACCAAACCTCGAACTATCTTCCTCTATATTTATCATAATTTTCATGTTTGTCACGAAAATCAACTTTGTTTTAGGGGAGTAGGTTTTTAATTTTTTGAAATTTTGGCTACCCTTGATAGTGATCGCGAGACAACTGCCAGTCTTCTTCATTTCCTTAGTAGTGATATCTACTTCAATACGCAAAAGCATTCCACTGAAAAACCAAATTTTCAGAAAAAGTTGAAGCCTAACGATATAAATGATTTACAATCATCTCATATATTTTCTATCAATTAAAGTGATGGCAAAAAGTTTAATAACATACCGTATTTTTCATTTTTTCTATCATGTTAAATATCTAGCTCAAACTCTGATAATGATTTAAATAGGCAATCGAGTTTTCTACCTAATGCATTCTATACAACTGTTTCAAGGATGATCTTTGATGGTAAGATTTCTAAAAAACTGACACGGTAGTTTTTAAGTGTTAGAAGACTTTGTTAGAGCTATTTTTTAGACAATGCTGTCGTAAAGAGTACAAAATTTTAAACAAAACAAGAGTAACCGAATTTTCTACAACCTTCTCTGAAGGGTCGATTCCCCCTTCGAAACCTATCTTCTAAACGGTTCAAGAGATTTCAATGAAAACTTCAGGAAATAGAAAAGCTGATGAAACTAGCATCTGATAAAAACTTGAATCAATCATTTTTGAAAATTGATGAGTTATACTCAATTTACTCATGAAAATGGGCTTTTGGCACGGAAGATTTTCTCGAGGTACGGTAGCATGGCAAATGTTGAAATTTGTTTCAAAATGAAGAAAAATCTTTTATCTAGAAATTGTAGGAACAGCTTTTTAAAATTTATCTTTGTCCAATAGTTGTGATCATTTTAAACCGAAAATCGAAAAAACTGCTTTGATCTCTTTCAAAGATTTTCAAATATCTGGACAACAGGGATATATTTTAGAAATCTGTTCCAACAATTTCTTAAAAAAAGTCTCAACTTTTGAATAAAAAAAAATATCAGCAGCGTACGTCAAACAGTAAAGTGGGAAAATGTTCCGCAGTGATCAGTAAACGATAAAAAAGCGAAGCTAAAAAAACGAATAACAACATTGCGAAGTAGTTGATGATGTTCCTGTGTAGAAAATTGAAGCATGTCATATATCATTGAAAAGTGTGTAAAAAGGTGTTGCAGTTGGTGATGTTTTCAAGAAAAAATTAAACTAATTTCTAAATCCAAGTTTACTGTAGCGCCACCTTTTCGAAAAATAACCTAATTTTGAAGCTTCCTTCTCTGACTGCAATAATCAGAATATGATTACTCGATACGTCAATGGTTTAATACTTCTGATAAAGAAGATGGAACGATATTAATTACCGGTAACTAAGAAAAAAAAATCAACACAATAGTCAATTTTCCACTATGACTTCCAATAGACGCCCCAGAATTCGGCAACATATGTTTCATCCTTATATAATTTATACATATTCTGAAAGAGGACACTCAGGGCTACTAGAATATGTGTTTTTTCAAAAATCGAGTTTTTCAAAGGAAATCAACTTTTGAAGGGGAGTTCCTCCTTAATGGAATCTTCGAATGTGATAGAATTGATATAGATATTTATTTATTTATTTGTGTTAGCGACATCTGATTCTAGAACAGTTGGATTCGACCCGCGTGGACCTCTGTTATTTGCTTGTGAATCATTTTCTGTAACATTTTTTAGAGTGAAATAAAATAATTCCATTAATCATTTACTTTCAAAATACGTATTAAATTATTATCAAGATACACAATAGATGATATTCACTATATGAATGACACCTTTATTTTTGCTGATGTTATATGTAGATTGATTTTTTTTTGCAATGTAGCTGATTCTTGGTTGTTTTTTTCATCACTCTTCAATAGTTTGTTTTCTTTGTTTTACTATTTTTTATCATAAATTTATATTTCTATATAAATTTTGATATATTTTCAAAATTTACTTCTGTATTTTTTTTCGGCGTATGTAATACAACCGACCTTGCCAAATTAATCAAAATAAATATTTGTTCATTTATTTATAGATATGAAAATAAACTCATTTCAATGAATTTATCTTTTTTCAAAATGTCTTTTTATCGTTATTTATCAACAGCAGCTAAAACGACTAATACTAATATTCAAGCACCAGTTCTTTCTGGAATAGTCAAACAATTATCAAAGTATTCTTCTCATAAGGAACTTATTGAATATTCTCAACGACCTATTCAATATTGTTATCCAAATCGTATGATTGAAGCTTGTTCACCGCAGCATTCAACACCTATAGATCTAATAAGAACAGCATCAGATCTTCATGATCAATTATTAGTACGTCTAGCACATTGTTTAAATTCTTTTCAATCAATTCCATTTTTACCCGGTGCTAATCCAACATTATTATCTCTACATGAACGTTATTTAAAATCTTTTGAAAAGTTAATTCAATTTCGTCAAATAAAAACAATTAAAGATGAAAAAAATTTTTTTGAATTAATAAATTATTTTATTATACAAAATAATGATGTTATAGGATTGTTATCAACTGGTTGTAATGAAGCACAAAAATATTTTAAATCATATAAAACATTAAAAGATTTTCTTGATAATGTTTTAAATATACGTCTTGCAATGCGTTTACTTGCTGAACATTATCTTGAATTACATAAACAACAAAAAAATAATCAAATAAATTCAGATTGGTATGGTGCTATTTCAACGAAATTTTTACCTGTAAAAACTGTACAACAATGTATTGATGATGTTTCTTCAATATGTTTTGAAACTTATACAGTTATACCACACGTTGAAATAGAAAATAATATACATGAACCTATACCGTTTTTTCCAAGTATTATAGAATATATTTTACGTGAATTATTAAAAAATTCTATGCGTGCTGTTATTGAATATAACAAACACGCATTAGGTAATATACAAAATGTAAAAAGATATTTCGAAGATAATCACGATAAACCATTATGTAAAGTTATTATTTCATCTGATCCTATTGATGAAGTTTTTACAATTGCTGTTAAAGATCAAGGTGGTGGAACAAATGCAAGTGATGATGAAATATTTCGATATATGTTTACAGGTAAGGAAAAAAATAGAAAAACAAAAACAGATAATTATTTTCGTTTTTTTTTTAGCTGATATAACGAAATCGCATGAAGCAAACAAAGAACAAGAAGAAGAAGAAATTGATATTTTAGCAGATTTTCAAGAACGCATGACACAATCGTAAGCTTAGAAAAATATCAAATCAAACGAAAAATAACTAAACTTTGTACTTTAGATCGAAGCAAATGTATGGTTATGGATTTGGTCTTCCTATATGTCGTCTTTATGCGAAATTTTTTGCTGGTTCTTTAACTGTTCAACAAGTATCACGTATTGGTACCGATGCTTATCTTCGTATAGGTTTTATACATACGAATTCTGAACGTGTCAAGATTTAATTTATAAATAACTGATTGTAATCTAGTCTTTTCAATATATTATGAATAGATATTTTGGCTTATTCATTTGAAAACTACATCAAACTGGCTATATTTAGATAAAATTGATTTTCATTACTAATGACAGTTTTTTGGCACATAAAATGTTAAACAAGAAGATCTAAAAAAATGTGTATAATCCATTGATAATTGAATCAGTATCTTTAAAAAGACAATATGTTGTCACAAATTTTAATTTAATTACTTATATTATTGTTATCGAAACATTTCTGAGTTTAATCAAACTTCTAATAAAGTTTTAAAAAAGAATCTAAGAAGTTGTTCAAATGTCTTATCAATGACTGGATGATAAATTGATATGATGGACGCAATCACAAAGAAATGAAAATGTTAATAAATACTTTTATAATTTAACAACAATTCCTTTACTATTTTGTAATCTTATGAGAGAACTACCACAACTATAACACGTTCTTTGGACTTATAAGAAGCTCTCGGTAATACTAGACAAAAGCTAAAAGAGTTCGTTTCCATGAGCCTTTAGAGTCGAGTAATAGCTGTTTTACTGAATTTCCCATCCATTTTTACGTATTTACTGAAAACTCAAAACAATAGAATTTTGACCTGAAATCTTGCATGTAGATACGTCTAATGACCCTTAGAGAATATCCTGAACGTTTCTGTCAAAAAAAAAAATATTCCATTGTCAAGATATCGAATTTTCAAGTACAAAATTTCAGATCGAAAATTCAATGAAACAGCTATAACTCGATTCTAAAGACCTATAGAAACGAACCCTTTTAGACATTTTCTAGTCTTACCAAGGCTTCCTTGCAGACTCAATCTGTGTCCAAATAGCGAGTTACACTTCGAATAGATCCTTCGTTAGGACAAAACTCTATCACAATATTTATCTTCATCGTTATCTAAAATTTATTTTCATATAACATACATTTTATTACTAATCGTATCGCTCGTCTGTTTAAATCATTTGTACACTTCTTGTATAAGAACGACATCTGAATTTCATTCCGTATGTTACTATAGACAACAAATCTTAGTAACATGGTAGAGCAGCGACGAAAGAAAAGCTTAAAAAAGAAAAAGTCATCACAAAAAATATACAATAAAAAGCTATTCAAATAAAAAATATGTTTTTTTTTTCGTCCATTAATTATATACAGAATTAAATCATATACAAATCAAAAAAAAAATACTTTCATTCATTTTTTTTAATTTCTATATTAAGATTACCTTTTCTTTTGTTTATGGATGGCAATCATAAGTTGTGGTCCAACAAGCATACCAAGTAATGGTAAACGTCGCAGAAATTCATATTCATTACCACTTCATTATGTTCAAATCATAGCTATTATACTAATATTTTTTCTTATATTAATGAATTATTTAACATTATGTGTTAATATTCCAACACATCCATGGCAATGGTTAAACATTGTTCTTTCTTCATTTTTTATTCTTCCATTTTTTATTGTTTTTATTGCATTAACTTATATTGATCCAGCTGAAAATGAAGTAATATATAAAAGTCATCGACCAAGAACTGATTTTGATCGTCATCAACATGCACATGTGATAACGGAACTTTATTGTCATGTATGTGATGTACAAGTTACAGAAAAAGCTAAACATTGTTCATCATGTAATAAATGTATTTATTCTTTTGATCATCACTGTATATGGCTTAATACATGTATTGGTGGAAAAAATTATCGACTTTTTTTATTAATGTTATCATTAATTGTTATTGGAACTTTATTTATTTTTTTAAATAGTTTACTTCAATTTATTGGTTCATTTCAAGGTTTATCATCATCATCATCGCTTAGTTTAAAACCATATTATGGTTTAGGTAAGATATTATGTTTCATCTTTAGATTTAATTACACACAACGTGTTGTTTTGTTTAATCCTTTACACTTCACAGCAGAATCATTCATAAAATAACGTTTTATAAATAGAGTATTAACCTATCTAATATGCTAATGATATGGTCTAATCCATCGAATGTGTATATCTTTATGTAGAGACATTTAATTGGTCCAATGACTACGTGATAGAAAAAAGGGTATTTAACGATATATTAAACCTGTATTTTTTTTTCTTTGATCACATTATTATGTAGGCAAAAGCAACATCAACCACATATTATTGTAGTAATAGGAAAAAAAAGGAAGTAGTGAACCAATAATAATTTATGTCAATAGAATACATGTGCTTTTCATACATTTTGTTAAATAAACATTTACTTTGCTTTGAATCATTTAATAACATCTAAAGATATTTAATTCACAGTAAATACTACCAATAATGGTTTCATGGTCAATCGTATGCTTTAGTATGTGTAGTTTGTTGAATTATCATGCAAATTTCGAAGCATATCTAATTCGCTAACGGACTTCTTCATAGATTTATGTCACACAGAAATTCCAAAAGATTTCAATTGACTGTAGCTAGAGAAAATATCGTTTCGAAAAATTTGATTCTTTTTTCAAAATAATCGATTTTGTAAACCCGATATTTCAAAGGCAGAACGATGAAAAAAAAATATTCTTTTTACTAGTTGATAATCCATGACGTTCCAATCATAGATTCGACAAGTCTTCAAATATCAGTCTAGCTTGTATGTGATTTAATATTATTTTTTCTCGTATAACTTGAAACATAAGGATAACATCACAAGCTGATAAGTTTTATGGGACTATGTGCGGATCATCTCTTTATACAAAGTCACTCACACTCATACCCTTTTTACCTTTGCCCTGTACTCGGCAACAAAAAATGATATTATACAGAACCATTTTTGCGATGAATTCGAAACTTTTTTCTAGGATTTCGTACTATTTTATTTAAGAACTTGTCATTATACTGTCTTGATTGAAAATAAGTTAAGTATATAACTAAAATTAGAATGATACAATATAATAAGGTTATAGAACTTAGTGGATTTAAAGAAATAGAAGCATTAATCGGTCTAATTTGTCCTTCAGATCAAGCCAGTAACAAGTGTTCTATTGATAGCTCACGTCGGGATCAAAACTAAGACTGATCTCGAACATATTTAATCAAAAAATACCAGTACAACAAAAATATTTATACGTAATCTAAATATAGATTATTGAATCATGAAATTTAATTATAAATTAATATGCTTTCTCTTTATTCATTTATATCATGCAATCATTATTTGTATATTCTTAAAAAAATTGCTACATCTAAACTAATTTCGCAGTATATTCTATGTAGTAAATAGTAAAAATCAACATTATTATAAGTATCATTTTTATTGTAATTAATTCATAGTTAAATCAAATCATTGCTCAGATTTGTTTATTAACAGTTTTAAAAAAATCTTTGTATTACTAAAGAATGAAACAGAACAACTATCTATACGATAAATGATAAAAGAAAAGTATGCAGACTATTTAGTTAAATTCGTCCTTATCTCTTATTATTTCTTGTCAAGTCATTTCAATGTTCTTATCTTTTAATAATCGTTAAGTGATTCATATAACTATAATGTTAAATACTGCGACCAAATTCGTTAAGGTTGTTTCGCTGTATTCAATATTTCTATTCAATCTCTGAGAAGTGAGAATCATTTGTTCATCATTATAATCATATTGAACTATTGAGTTTACTTTCTCGACTATAAATGACGACTCAAATAAAAATTCTATCGATACTTTTCGCCGAACCTTATATAATAAGATGATTACTATATATATAATTCAAATAGATATTTTTTTTCCAATTGGCAATAACTATCTTCTATCTCTTTTTATTAAACATAGATCAATATGCTATATTAATGATTCCATCATCAAAGATTGCTTTTCAAGTGATAACAGCAATTATAGGATTCATTTCTATTGTGACTTGGATATTAAGTGGATATCTTCTTGGTTTTCATATCTATCTATGTAAGCAGAGAACAACAGTTTTTAATTTATAAATTTTTTTAAAATTAACTGTTGGTCTTTTGTTTTTGATTAGGTTATTATGGTTTTTCAACATATGATTATGTTGTTAATCAACGACTTAATAAAACAGTTGATCAAACATTATCTCAATTTAATCAATTTAATCAAAATCATTATAATGATCCATCATCATCATCATCATCAACAACAAAACAATCGAAATTTAATCTTTCAAAGGTTTAATTTATAATTCATATTTTTATTCATTAATGATAGTTCTTTTTTTTTTGGTTTTATAGAGAAATAAAAGTAATCAAATAGCAGTTAGTCCAGAAAATGGTACAATAAATCATTCAAAACAATTTCATGATCCAAAAGTTTTTACTATTGAAGAAAATTATGTATGTTAAATATTTTCAATAAATAAAAATTAATTTCAAATCAATTTATATTTATAGAGAGACTCTCCACGACGTTTACAAGTATGTCAACGTTCAAGTGAAGAACCTTATGTTCTTAAAGGTGCTTCGCAAATAGATAGTCAATATTAGTGAATAGTATGCGAAAGATATTCATTATTCAATGAAAACTTAATTATCAAAACTATCGTTTTTTAAAATAGATCATTAATATCAATCGAGGTGATGGATCAAGTGCATTTCTTAATCATGTATTTTATAACAGTGATATATGTGCATATTGCATGTCAGTGATACAACAATTACAGATCTGCTTTTCTTTTTCATAATGTTATGTTTTTTTTATTTGTTTATAAAAAAACCTATTGAAAAATATGTTAATAAAAAAAGTAAGCAATACATGTTTCTATCGATGATGACGATCAGAGCTACGTGCAGATCAAACCAGGTCGATTGATGTTTCTAATTTTTCGAATATGTTTATTTTTATGACTCTGCATTCTTGTTTCAGTTGTTCACTTAATTTATTTTCATAAAGATAAGATGATAACAAGTTCTTGCATGAAATAGCAAATTTCCAACAACGAGACAATCATCATAAATATTTTTCATACAAGAAAGACTTGAATTAATGCAATAGCTTTGGTCGGATTGGTGAATGATGAGTATGGAAACGTTTAGTACTGACATTTTAAGCACGCAAAAAGTTAAACTAAAAAGAATGTGAGCGGATGTAGGTGTTGGTCTCCTCTTTAGTCATAACTACAACTGAAGAGAAAATAGCAAAGACTTCTGTCTCATGAAGTTTCATGACGTCTTTTGAAAATTTCAAGTCTCTGTGCCTGAAGTCTGTCATGTTCTCCATCTGATATCAATCCCATACTCACTAGTGAACTACGAAGTCAAATTTTGTGATTCCAAAAGTTTTCAAGCTGCAATTCCAATTCAGACGCCGAAAAAAAATTTTTCGACTCTGAATCCAAGAAACTCCAAGAATTTGTTTGCATAATTTAGCGATGAGTTTTCAGAAATCATAGAACCAATGACTAAAGAGATTTTTACAAAAATTTGAAAAATTTTTCGACTTCAACTGCGATTTCGAAAAATTCTGGTTTCAAGACTCCGCTTCTGAAAAATTTTGTTGTTGTAACTCCGCCGGAGCCAGGTTTCGGAGTCTCGCGCAGTTCACTGACACCCACCCCAGACGTACACATGACACCTACCCACATCCTATTTAGTTTCAGTATTTTGCGTGCTTAAATTGTCAGTGCTGAATGTTTTCGCGCTCATCATTCCGGTTCCCACTTTGATCATATCAATTCTGTTTCGCATAATCGAAAAAATGCGCTCATGGTAGCAAAAACAACATATGACGAGGCATACAACTAAAATATAGGGAATAAGTGATACTTATAACAACAGACAAGGACATTTACATTGGACAATCAATTTTCGCAACAACACGAGCGCAAAATTTATTATCCTATTGTTTTGCATCTAAACAAGTTCTTTTGTCAATGAATATAAGTTCTACAGTATTAAGCTGATGTTCTGTTCAAGTATTTATTGCCGGAAACAAATGAGTTTGTCAAAGTACGCTTGAATGATAAGGCGATGCATCAACATTTGATTTTCAAAATTTAAAAGCCAGACAGGCAGCTCTGATGACGACAGGGATTCAAAAAAATAACCCATCATGAAAAAAAATAAATAAAGACTGATTCTCGAAAAGTTTATCGTCGTGATATTCATATAATAAGTTTTTATGACAATGGATTTAAATTGTTATGTAATTTTCTTCAATTTCAATTATATGTGCCGCGATTTTTACCGATGTATATAGACGCATAAACGGTTTGACTTTCGCGATTTTATTAGAACATTTTTTCCATGAGTATGATATTATTTTCTCGTATCATCGATTATTCGTAACTAGTGATTACAGTCACATAACTAAATTTTACTTCGAAAATATAATTAATGCAAAACTTTTGTTCCATTCGTAACCTATAGTATACTCGCCATAATCATTTATTATATATAACCGTGCGTCTTCCAATCTGTATTATCAATAATGAATTGGGTTATATGTAATTATATGATACTGGTAATAATAAACCAAAGTTTATTATTCTATTGAGTAGAAAGACAATCTCTTTTATTAATAATAATAATCATGGAATTATAAATTTTCTCGTTATTAGTATTCGAGAAGATACTTCTGATGGCTAAATTCAACAACTAGAAGATCATGAGTTTTTTTTCAATGTTAAAATATTGAAAACAAAAATCGAAAGAAAAAAAAAAGAGCCGTTTCTTCTAAATGAGCATGTATCATTTCATTTTTCTGTAGAATATTTGATTTAATATGATATTGTAAAATATTGAGATATTAAGATTCTTGTTTTTTTTTGTGTCTTGCAAAATATTATTAATTTCTTTTTATATTTCTAAAATCAATCAATACATTGAGTTTCTTTTGTTTGGTTTAATTACTGCAAAAATACACGCGAAAATCATGCATATAATGTAGAAATTATATTTGCATTATTTAATGTAGTTGATTTTTATATTGCATTGCAAATACGTCCAATTTTAACCACTTCCATTTTTTTTTATTGCGTATCATATTTTAAGGATATCCTTATTCAATATGCATTATGAATAGATAGTGATATTAAAAATATTTTTATTGATCATCTTATTGATTCAGTCTATATTCTTATTGAAATCGTTTCAATACTCATCGATTATATGATGGATAATTTCAAGTTTTTAATGATTGAAATATTTGTTATTTTTTCTTTTACCTATGTGTACCCAACACTTTCACTAATGGCTTATACCAATTAGATATAGTGCAGTAAGTTTTCATTAAAGTAATTTTGTTTCTAAAAGTTATTTATTAATATTTTAATAGAGATAAATTTCGAAATAAAAATTATGTAAAATTTTAATTTATCGCATAAAAGATGCAGTGGATAAATATTTCTTTATTAAATAGAAACTAGCGATCTCTAGTATATATATCTATGTGCACATATTCTATTGGTTTGATGCTATAAATCGATTCACAATAAGACACAACACAAAGGTACAAAGAAAGAATGGAATAAGAATAAAAGATAATCGCGGTACTAACCATTTATATTTCATAAAAAACATTTTGTCGTGAATAACAAATTCATTTGCAATCTTATTTCTAGATCGTCTATCTTATTTGATCTTGATTTCATTTCTACTTTTTTATTTCCTTATTATTATAAAATCAATTATGTTCGAAGTATAAGATTTATAAACTGATATATAATTAATTTTGTAATTTTATTATTGATTATATTTAGGCTCGTCTTTTACATGGTTCAATTTTTGCAAAAGTTATTGAAGGTCTTCGTGAATTAGTCAATGAAGCAACATGGGAATGTAGTGGCAATGGAATTACATTACAAGCTATGGATAGTTCTCATGTTGCATTAGTTTCACTTGTTATGCGAAGTGAAGGTTTTGAATCATATCGATGTGATCGAAATATGAGTTTAGGTATTAGTCTTGTCAGGTATAGTTATGAAAATTAAAAATTTAAACTTTTATTAATTATTCACTTATTCAGTATGTCGAAAGTATTGAA